CAGTTCTAAGATCTTCTTCATTTTCCTAAAGACGTTATGCAGTCGTGAAGTCTTCATATTTAGCTTAAAGATGCGTGAATCATCTGGCGTCTTTAAGTTAGTATTATTCAATTCACCCTATATGGGAAATAATCCTCGGAGTATACTATATTAAGAATTAAAAAATATCACTTACATTATCTCACCCATTTTGCCAAGCAATATATATACCCATATTTGGGTTTTTCCTCGGCTGATAAGCTTTCATTTCTGAGAAATGATCACGTGCGACAACCTTAATATATGGTTAAAAAAAGACGCTACCAGTTTTGTTATTATTTAAATAAAAAACCGGTAAAAAATTACCGGAAACATTATTATTTCTACCGGTTTTGTTATTATTGGTGCTTTATCGGGTTTGGTAATATATCCGGTAGAAAAATAATGTTTTAGGTAACGTTTTACCGGATATATTATCAAGTTCGGTAAAGCACCCAATAATAACAAAATCGGTAAAATAATAATGTTTCCGGTAATTTTTACCGATTTTTTTATTTAATTAATAACAAAACCGATAAAAAAATTTTAACCGTATATTAAAAGTGTTGTACTGTAGAATTTGCCTTCATTTCTCTGTCTCCACGTAGCAACTTAAGGCCATGATTCTAGTTTAATTCTCCACCTAAAACCTTCTTTCCCCTTTTTTATTTTGCTTTATATTTAGAATTAAGAGAAGTTTATTATAAAGAATAATAATAATAATCAATGTCTAATAATCCCAATTAAAATTTACGATTTGATTGAAGTGAGTAAAAAAAATGAACTTAACCGAAATTTAAGAGTTTTATATTATCAATAAAATTTAATTTATTAAAAAAAATAAATTCAACAAAATAAAATTTGAATTGAATCACATAATTTTATTTGAATAAAATTATGACATTACCTTATGGTGATATATCAATTTCGGTTACCCGTTATTAAAAAAATAAATAGAATTGATGAGGTGATATTTTTTTCAACGATGATACAATATTACTTTATGGTGACACATAAATATTACCTTTAATTTTTTAACTGTAGGTGATCAAAACGAAATTAAAATATAATATTAGGTATGATTTTAAAATAATAACAATAAGATGACTAAAACAGAACCATAATAATATGTTGGTGATTATATACTTAATTTACCCTAATTTTTTATGAAATATTTTATCATTTAAAATGATTCATAATAATTAGAAAAAGAAAAAAAGTGATAGATTGATGTAGACTGCAAAATACTTTTATTTAAGCTTACGAGTCTAAAGCATAATTTTGTTTTTGTTAAAATGTCATTTTCTAGTGATTAGCATTCATTAAAACAATAAATTATTTTTAGTCGGAACTGACCGTTGGCTTTCGCGTTTGCTGTTTTTGTGACAAACTCATGTAAATGTCACTAAATTTTAGGCTTTGTATTAATTTTACTGCTGAATTTTAATTTTTTAAATTTTAGTATTGACTTCAATGTAAGCACCGAGTCGTTAGATTGTTAACTGTGTGATGTGTCTGTTTTCTTTCTCGTGAACTTTAGTTGTTTATTGATGAAATCTTGAGACTCTGATACAATGACCGAACATTGTTGAATGACAATACTTAATAAAGAAGTGAAAGACAATCGATGATAACAAGTAAATGGAAGAATATTAGGTTTCTTTATCAACAGTAGAAAATGAATTACAAATAGATCTTGCTTTAGCCGTTACAATAGGAGGCTTATATAGCCCATTAAGCCTTGATAACAAGCTAACCAAAGTGTAGCTACATAATAACAAAATAACAAATATTAACTAATTCTATTAACATTTAATATTCACCTACTTCTTCAACCTTCAGAAGTAAAGATAGCACTTGAGCTGGTTCTTGATTAAGAAATATGCTTTCTCTTCATTCATCATTTTGTCATCGAGAATCGAAAGTGTTATGCCTCTTTTCGTTCTACTTGAACCGAAAGTGCGATGCTTCATTCCGTTCTACTTTAGACGAGATAGATGAGAATGGAAGCAACTAGTAGCAGAAGCAACAGGAAAATGAAACAAAACTGGAGATCGGAAAAATCTACAAACTTTGCAGTAGCAATGGTGTGAAGTAAAGGCACTCAATTGTCGGCGCAACGAAAGAGAAAACGATGTCAGGATCTTTTAATGAATGACCCATGATGAAATCTTGAGACTCCGACACAATGGTCGGACATTGCTAAACGGCAATACTTAATAGAGAAATGAAAGACAAACGTGATAACAAGTAAATGGAAGATATTAGGTTTTTTATCAACCGTAGAAAATGAATTACAAATATCTTGCTTTAGCCATTACAATAGGAGGTTTATATAGCCCATTAAGCCTTGGTAACAAGCTAACCAAAGTGTAACTACCTAATAACAAAATAACAAATATTAACTAATTCTATTAACATTCTAATATTTATCAATTTATCATTAAACTTTAAAATACTTTATTTTTAAGCATTGAACTTTAATTTGCGTCTCATTTCAATTTATACAAACAATTATTAATTTTTATTGTTGTTATGTTCATCACCAATCATCATTCACGAAAAGATTAATACAAAAACATTATATCTTACACATCTTTCTTCTTCTTTGATCGGTTTTTTATGAAACTCGCTCAAAACTACACAAATATATTTAAAATTTGAAGTTCTAATACTTCGATTCCATCCAAAAACAATATGATGACGCTATTTTTGAGATATGTTACATGTCTTCTTGAAGAATGCTTCTCACCATTTGAATTTTTGAACAAATCCCTTCAATTCGAAACCTAAAACGATAAATTTTGGTGTGCTAATTTCATGAGTTTAAAGAAATTCTGGAAAAATCAAAAGCGATACAAAACAATGAGACAAGTTCATCGGTGTTTAGGTGGTCGCAAAAGACGTACGATAATGACAGTTTCTAACGACATATAAAGGGTGAAAACCATAACTTGATGATGATAATGAGACTAAATATTTTTTCACTTATATATATGAAGCCTAAATTAAAGTTTGATGTTACAATCAGATCAATTCAAAATTCAATGATAAAATTGATATTATGTCTAAAATTAAGTCGTATTAGTGTAATTTATCCATCCTTTATCTTTGGATTTGGCCTTCCGAGCTGTGCGTCGGCACTCGGCAGCAAACGACTACTAACAACTACTAGCAAGTAACAAAGTTGTAATCAGAGGTTACCAATACACCCTTTGGAAAACTAACGTTGAAGACTTTGCAACTTTTTTTTATTAGTTTAGATGTCGGTAATTACAAGTGATAGTATCTGTTCTAAAGAGCTTGATCATTCGATAATAACCGTTTAAATATTTGTAGTCGCTTATACTCAAAATTACTAATATACCTTTCATATTTTCCAAATTGCCTACCATACCCCCGGACCCAAAACTTTATGGCTGCACCAAATATTAAGGGGTAATATTTACAATAATGATAAATGCCAACAAACTTTGATGAAAATGTAATACCTAAAATTAATTGTTTCTATAACTACTTTTGTAGCTTAAAGACAAAAGAGGGAAATTCATGGACCATACCAAAAAAGGGTAACATTTATCTAGTTTAGTCTTTATTTAATTTTTTTCGTTCAATTTACTCCCTCTCTATTTCTTCTCAAATTCTTGGACTTTTCAAGCTTTTTTTAAATATATTTTAAGGCAATCTTACTAAAATTAAGGATGACTTTTATTATCACTGTATGATTATTTTAAATCCTTAAATAATTTAAAAAACAATTTTGATTTTGATTTTTTATAATATTTCACTAAATTAGCCAACAAAATAATCTCGTAGCCTTTTGGATTTCCACCATTTAGTTTCGATTCATCGATCAGTTACCGTATTTATTTGCAATTTAACCGTATTCCAACTTTATTGCCTACGAATCACCTGAGAATCAATTAATATTTTTTTGTTCTTTTCATACAATTGAATGAATTAATTATTCAATTTAATATTCTCCTACTTTACCTTCTACTTCATCATTTATGTTTAATTTGTATTTTAAAGTTTTTCCTTTTTAAAATTAGGGCAAAGTACACTAATGGTCTCCCGATTATAGGATGATACTTTGTTGAGTCCTCTTATTTTTAAAAGTTACAAAATAGTCCTTCAACTATAGGGTATTACTTTTATAAGTCTCTCGATTATTAAAAGTTATAAAATGGTCACCCAACTATTCATATGCTTTAAACTTCTCCTTTTTCGTCAAAAAATTGACTGTAGTCTGAGTTTGACGTTAACTTATTGACAGTGATATGATAAAATGTAATCTTAGAATCTCAAAAGATTATCATATCATATTTAATATGTTAACGTCTAGCTCATATGACCATTACTTTTTTAACAGAAAATGATAAATTTGGAATATATGAATAGTTTAATAAGCAATTACTAAATTTGCTAGCTATGTTTTTCAAGGCTTAAACTTAAAAAAAATATTTAAACTACGCCATTTATTTCTTTAGGTACCTAAATTATTTTTTGGTTAAATCAGTTACTTAAACTATTATATGTAAATATTTTAAGTATTTCAATTATTTTTTATTCAAATAAGTCTTTAAACTATACCTTTTTTCACTTGAAGTCCCTAAAATATTTTTTAGTCAAAACAAATACATAATTTTATATAAGGTGTCAACATTTTATTGGTCGCAAAATAATTTTTTAACTGAAAATATATTAGAACTAAAAATATTTAAATATAATAATTTAAATATTTAAAATATTTAAATATTACAACTTAACACCTAAGACTATTATATCATACTCTTAACATTAAGTACATAATTTGATCAAAAAAATAATTTAAATACCTAAAGCAAAAAATATATAATTTAGGTAATTATTTTTACTTAAAGTATTTTTGAATTATTTATTAATTATTCAATTTTCTTTAATTAAATGTGCAATCTCTTTACACCAAACACTGTTAGAACTTAGAAATAGAAAGTGAAAAGAGAGAGAAAAAAGAAATGAAAGAGCTCTTCTACTTTAGATCTTCTCTCTTTCAATGCTTCCTTGTTCCTGAGTTTTGGACTCGGTATCGGACTCATCTTGCCATTACCAGCTCGTTTCTGTTAGCTGAGCTCAGCGTGTAGACCGGTACAATAGGCTTTGTTTTCCTGTTCGTCTGACCACATTTTGATTATTTTTGAGCATTTGATAGAGGGGTCGAACATATGGCATGTTTCCGGCAAATTATGCTGGAGCTCCGGTAAGATTGTGATCTGAGATTTTTCCGGAAGAGATGTTTAAGTCGGCGAGATGGAGGAGCGACAAAAACAAGATAAAGACCGTCTTCAAGTTGCAGTTCCATGCAACTCAAGTACTCTCATTCTTTCATTAAAAAAAATCCACTAGTTGAATATTTTTTGGAATTTTCATTTAGTTATCTTTATTTGTTAGCTCCATTTCTCAGCATATGTAGTTCAAACAGCGAACAGAGTCTGATTGGACTGTTTCCGAAGCTGAGCTAGTTTGCTTGGTTAAAGATGTTGATCTTTTGAGAGTTTTTTAATGGTTAATAATTAATTTGTTTTGTAACGCGATTGCATAAATTTGAGCAATATTGAAATATTAATTAATTTCTGTATAATTTAGGTGGCGCAGTTAGATGTGCAAACATTGATGATATCCGTGGTTCCTGGCGATGGGGGAAAATCGACTACAAAATTAGAGAAGGCGACGGTTCTGGACGATAATTGTCGATGGGAAAAACCAGTTTACGAGTCCGTTAAATTTGTTCGAGAGCCAAAAACTGGGAAAATCAACGAAAAAATCTATCATTTTATTGTTTCATCTGTAAGATTCTTTTGATGAAATTGTGCTTTTGATGTATTTTTGTTTTCTTTAATTGTGATACGAGTAATATTTTATATGATCGTCGTAGGCGTCGGGAAAAGGAAATTTGGTTGGGGAGGCTTCAATTGATTTTTCTGCTTATGCTGAGGCAATTAAAACTTCTAAAGTTTCTCTTCCATTAAAGAATTCGAATTCAAAAGCAGTTTTGAATGTTAGTGTACTCTCATCACTCTCTCTGTTTCTCTCTCATAGTTATATGTGTCACGTATTGCTTCCTCTGGTAGCCTTTTTCTTTAAATCTTTCCTCATAAATATGTTGATTTTGAATTCAAGCTGTTGGTTTTGAACAGGTTTCAATACACAGGCTGCAGGAAAATGGCGATCGAAGGTAATTGTCACTTTTTTGTTGAATCCTTATTGCGATTTGAGTTCGTTTCTGGAATATTGGAGTGGTGCCTTTGTTTGAGAGTTTGAGTTTGTGTTGATGGTTTTTTTCAGAGAGGTGGAAGAAATTGAAGATGCAAGTGTTAAATCACAAGATCGAAGCTTGAAGGCCCACTTGAGCAATGGTGATTCAGATGAAAGCATTAAGAACGATACTGTTGAAGTAAGGTTCCTATGCCCTATCTCATTTAGTGAATGTGTTCATTTTGGGTTTTCTTGTTGCTGTTGTCACTCGGGCCATTTCCTTCTTCTCTAGTCTTTTTTGTCTCTTAATACGTGCTTAATATAGATGGTGATTGAGAATGGATTTGCACGTTTTACTTATTAATTTGATCATTATCTGTCTGATAGGATGCGCCTTTCAGCAAAAACCCCCACAATGCTGAATTGCATGAGAACCATAGAGAATCAAATGGATCTGATATTACAAGTTCAAGTTCTGATTGTAGCTCACTTGATACTCCAAGGGAACTTAGAAATGGAATGAGGAATGGCAGCATCGATCAGGACCCTCCTACTTATCTGTCATCAATGAATAACACCTCAGCTACTCCTAAACCGATACCGGTTGCCTCGACAACAATCTACGAGGAGTGGTCGGCAGGTTTGGATCAGGGAATGAGTACTGATGACTCTAATAGTTCTCAGGATACCTTTCCAAGAGAAAACTCCCAACTTGGTTCGGATAATGAGATCGATAAGCTCAAGAATGAGGTCATTGCTTTGTCCAGACAAGTTGATGTGTCAGATATGGAATTGCAGACTCTCAGAAAGCAAATTGTGAAGGAGTGCAAAAGGGGGCAAGATCTCTCACGGGAAGTTGTTACTCTGAAAGAAGAGAGAGATGCTCTCAAATTAGAGTGTGAGAAACCCGAGTCTTTTCAGAAGCGAATGGATGAAGCGAAAGTAAAAAACAGGATCCAGTTTGAGAGTGGAGACCCCTGGATTCTTGTTGAAGAAATGAGACAAGAGCTGAATTATGAGAAAGAGATGAACTCCAATCTTCGGTTACAACTGCAGAAGACACAGGAATCAAATGCTGATTTAATACTTGCCGTGCAAGAACTAGAGGAGATTTTGGAGTCGAAGAATGTGGAAATTCCCAATCCTTCCAACAATTCTGGATCCCATGGAAATGCGGAGGAAGTGGGAGCAGTCGACTCAAGAAACGACTCGGATGAGGATGAAGAGCAGAGGGTATTGGAACAGCTTGTTAAAGAACACAAAGGCCCCAAGGAAACCTCTCTCCTGGAACAAAAGATCGTTGACCTCTGCAGTGAGATAGAGATCTACAAGAGGGATAAAGACGAGCGTGAGGCACAAATGGAGCAACTAGCACTTGACTATGAGATACTGAAGCAGGAAAATCACGACATCTCATACAAATTAGAGCAAAGCCAGCTGCAAGAACAACTGAAGTTGCAGTATGAGTGCTCGTCATCTTTTGCTAATATAAATGAACTTGAGACCCAAATTGAATTCTTGGAAAGTGAACTCAATAAGCAGTCAGAAGAATTCTCCGATTCTTTAGCCACTATAAATGAACTAGAAACCCACATCAAAAGCTTGGAGGAAGAGTTAGAGAAACAGACACAGAGATTTGAAACGGATCTAGAATCTATCACACAAGCCAAAGTTGAGCAGGAGCGAAGAGCTATCCAAGCTGAGGAAGCCCTGCGAATGACAAGATGGAAGAATGTAAATACAGCTGAAAGGCTGCAGGAGGAATTTAAAAGACTCTCCATCCAGATGGCTTCTACATTTGATGCAAATGAGAAGGTGGTTACAAAGGCTCTGACTGAATCTAGTGAACTACGCTCACAAAAAATTCAGCTGGAAGAACAGCTCGAAAAAGCTAAAGAAGAGTTCCAATCATTTAGGGAGGATTATGAGGCAAAACTCTCTAACCTTTCCAGTCAAGTCAGTCTAAAATCAAATCAAATAGAACAGTTGTTGGAGGAAATTGATGATAAGTCTTATAAGCTTGAACAACAAAAGAAGCACGCGGAAGAAGCTAGTGCGGATTTTACCGAGGAGATCTGCAACCTAAAAGCTGAGATTGAAAAGCTGACAATAGAAAAGAATTGCCTCCTTGAACAAGCTGAAAACTTGAGACTTGAGTTGGAACACACAAAAGCATTAGCTAAAGAAACTGAAGTCCAGATGCAAAGAGGATTTCTAGAAAGAAATGAACTGGTGAGCGCAGTTGCTTTGATGAATAAAGAAGCTGCTAAATCACTGGAAGAATTGCAAAGCATGAAGAACCTGAAGGATGAGAAAGAAGCAGAAGTTGAATCTCTACAATCAGAGCTGAATATCCTCAAAACTCAGTGCAATAAATTGAAACATTCTCTGTCAGGAGATGAAGCAGAGAAAGAAAAACTCAAAAACCACGTAGCTCAACTAAAGGGTGACCTTAAGAAGGAAAATGCATTTACTGGCATGGAAAAGAAGCTGAAAGAGAGCAATGGAAGAGCAGCGGTTTCTCATGGAACAAGAACACCATTAAGAAACAATAGATCTCCCATGGGTCCTGGCAGTTCTAAAGAGGTTGCAAACCTGAGGGAGAAAATAAAGTTGCTTGAGGTAAATTTATTCATCCAAGTTCTGTATAAAATTAACTTCCAGTTTGGAACTTTGCTGCAAATGGTTTAACATCGTTTTGGGGATTCATGATTAAGCCACAATGTTTATCATAATATTCCTCTTTCCCTTACTGAAATCAACTTTTCCCTTATAGTTTGTTTCTTCCTCAATGTTGTGCAGTTAAGGAACTGTAATATTCATAATGAGTACTTTTTTTCATGGCAGGGACAAATAAAGTTAAAGGAAACTGCTTTAGAAACGTCCACAATCTTTTTCCTGGAAAAGGAAAAGGATCTTCAGAAGAAAATTGAAGACTTAGAAAGCCGAGTAGAAGAACTCAACAAGCACAGTGCCAGCTTCTACGAGTGCGAACTTCAGAAGGTCAGAAACATTGTACCATGATTGAGAAGAAAAAGGAAATAAGTAAACATTTTGGAAGTGTCATTACTGAACTTATGTTCTCGCCATAACATTAACTTGACGATGACATTCTTGGACCCTAGCGTTTGTTCATTATGACAATATTCTGAAGTGTATTGCTTGTTTCGACTAATATTTTGTTTCGAAATGGTAAAAATACAGGTAGTTAAAGATACTAAGGAAGCAATTGTATCAAATGGTGGCGTTGTATCAGATGGCAACATAAAGGAAAGGTAAGATTTGAAGACAAAGAACTAAACTTCTGTGTCGGTTTTTACTTTCAGGAACAAAATAAAAGGTTGAGTACGTGACACCTGCTTTCATTGATTTCTTATCTTCAGAAACGACGATGACAGTTTGCCTGTGAAAGAGCAAAAAGCCTGCATTGTGGATCGAGACAGTAGCCAGGATGAATTGATGGAGGAACTAGCAGCATTGAAGGAAAGAAACAAATCCATGGAAAGCGAGTTGAGGGATATGCAAGAGCGATATTCCGAGATGAGCCTGAAATTCGCAGAGGTTGAAGGTGAACGACAACGACTTGTGATGACGGTGCGTAAAATCAAGAATGCCAAGAAGAGCTAAAAGTAATCGATTTCTTCGCCTACAAGGTACTGCAATGTATAGTTGAAGTAGCAGCAGGATTTTACCCACACGGAAATTGCTGGTGAGACGGTTCCTTTTCTTATAGTGAAAATAAATTAAGTTGTACAAAAATCAAATACGCATTGACCACACCTAGTAGTTTCCATGCCATACATAGGTAATTTTATTTCTCCATTTTTCCCCTTTCATGTTTGATTCTTATTCTCATAATTTCATTTGAAAACTTTCATAAACATCTCCATAAATATAATTATTTCATTTTCTGATTAGCTCTTCTTTTACTCTTTTGGGGTGATACATTCAAGTAATCTTACATTACAAGGGTAGTCAAGATTTTTGGATTTCTACAATTATCTTGAATTAGTAATCTTACATCCTGAATAATACTAAGATTATGAACTATAATAATAATATCAACCCACTTTTTTATTTGATAATTTTAAATTTGAAACAAAATTGTTTAATTTAGGACAATTTTTCCTTCTTTTGTAGTATAATTTTAGTTTCGAGAAATTTTGTTCTAAGAAAATATAATTCTGATTAAAAAGAAAGCTTCGGAATGAAATTCATTAATTCGAGTGACAAATGATGTCTATATTATTTCATTTTGTATGAGTTAGAATCTCTATGGTTACCTTAAAATATAATTTCTCCGTGTATAAAGATGCCCTCTTTTTTTTCTTTGATTTAATAACCGGTATCTGATCTATTGACCGACTAATCCAGATCAGATACTGCAGATGCAAGGGCGACCCTCCCAACCCAGTTTGCTTTATTCGTAATCGCCAGTATTTGAACCCGTAATCTTACTTAAGAAATCTAGTCTCATCCTACTAGATCAACTGGTTGTTAGTACAAAGATGCCCTCTTTAATTAATGACATACTAGCTCATTTCAATTTTCAACTAAGGAATAAAATGGAAAATTATCTTCCTATAAAAAATCAATAAAGATCATGGAAATTTTACACTCATATTTACAATATATCAACTTTCTGCATTTTTAATTAATAGTTGCTAGTTTTATTAAATAAATATGAAATATAATAAAATGATAATATGTTGACAAATTAATTTTATTACAATTCAATTGTAATTGTGATTTATTCATATCCAATTTCACACAAATAGATTTAATATTTGTAACTTTTTTATTTGTTCTCTTCTTGAAAAAATATATATTTTTCTCGTTAGTGTGTTGCTCATCTCTTTTTTTTTATCTTTGTTGATCGACGATGATACTAATTTTAATATTAATTGTCGATCGTCGGTATTATTTATTGTCCTTTTCTTTTATTATATCATATCTCTAGTTTCTTTTATTTTTTTATTTTCAAAAAGTTTGCATGTATAATATGTACGTTTTTTCTGTCTTTTAGCATATTTTTCAATTGTTTAGTCGTTTTTATTTATCTTTTCTAAGGGTTGATTTGACATCGTCATGACTGATCAAGATTGATGATATCTTGTTGATCTCCCCTGCTTTAGACCCTCATATTGGATTGGATACGCAATTTGCGTTCGTGGATAGATTTTCATGTTGCTCGAGTTTGATTTATGGTTTGTCGATGATATTTCAATAGTTTGATCTCCTTTTGTTGTTCGTTTGTCGATGCAATCAGATCTATTTGTATCTATCTTTGTTAGGGTTTCTTGGTTAGATTTTTAATCTTTCCTTGTTTGGTCCTTATATAATCTTAAGTTGCTAGTTTTGTTTCAATGATTATATAATTTTTTTTAATTATGTGTTTAATTTACGATTGTGATTATAAATCTTTATTGTAATTTGAGATATTTTCTATTTCGAATAAAATTAGTTATTTCTATAAAAAAATTGTGATTTATTCTTTTATTATGAATAATTGTTATTATAAAAATAGTACAATACTTTAAAATTAGAATAGATCAATAAAAATAACTAGAAAAATCAAAATAAAGAAACCACATCAAATCATTGTTGTTGACTATATTCAGCTCAAATAGTTGACACGTCACCATCTAGTTGGACTAAAAATTATTAAATAAATTTAAATTATAAAAACCCTTTAATAAAATAGTGACATGTGTCATAATTTAATTAGATGATTAAATTTATTGAATTAAATTAAATTAAGATCAAATTAAATTATGTAAGCACTTCAGTTAAAAATTAAGGGTAAGTGACTTGATTGATAATAATTAAATAATTAAGTGGTCTGATTGATAAAATTAAAAGATCGATTATAAAATTAAAAGAGCTAAATAAATAAGTGATCAATGGTATAGTTTACCCTTATTTTAACACTACATTGGTATCTCCTAAGACAAAAGCCTATTGGTAAGATTTACTTTAACTTTCAAATACATTACGCAAATTCACAATGGTATTTCAGTAAAATGGTCCATCCCCTCTACTCCACCATTGAACTTACCCAAATGACCGTACTAACGACGTGGAGCTCCTAATTTCATTTAAAAAAGATTCCTTGGTTAAAGCTTTTATATAAAGCCAACGGCTAGATCATCGTCCCCCCCTTCCCTCTCCCTTCATCGTCGACGATCTTATTTTGGCCAAAAGATCGTGCAGATCACAACAGAAACGGAAAGAACCGCCAAATTCGGTGGAGTAGTTTGGATCGCCAAAGCCACGGCTTTTTTTAAAATTTAAAAAGCTCCCTCTTTTTAACATTTGATTTCGATTTTTTTCCCTTTTGTTAAAGAATCTATCCCTCGTCCTGAGATTTGTACCCGTTTTTCACCTTCACGTAAGTAAATTATTACAGCTATGGTCCGATCTCCCTGACGCCCATTTCAGGGGTTGCTTGTTTTTGTTTGGGTCTTTTCGATTCTTCAATTCCTCACGAAACGTGAAGAGAGAACATTTTGCGAACAATATCAGTCGTCAGCGTTGCCTGGAGTCCGGTTCGTCCAGACCCGGTTCACTCCCTCGGTTATTGCGATAACCAAGCGGGTGAGTTGATCTTCTTTTACCTCTCCGTTTCCGGTTCGGTGATGCCGATGCGGGTTTTGGAGTCGGAGTCCATAGCCTCCGTCAAGCTTAGATCCAGACAAGCGAAGGGTTGCGGTGAAGAACCAGAAGCTGTTTGCGGAGGCAGAGAGTTAACTCGCAATGACTCGCTTCTCAAGGATTACGGGATAAAAGGAGGGAATGTGTTGCATTTAGTTTTAAAGCTTTCCGATCTCTTACTCGTAACTGTGCGGACAAGTTGCGGGAAAGAACTCGAATTGCGTGTTAATAGGAATAGAAATATTGGGTATTTGGAACGAAGGATAGCTAGAAAAGGAAAGGTCCTTGTGGCTGTCGATGAACAAGAGATATTCTTTAATGGGGAAAAAATCGACGATCAAAGACTAATTGATGATCTATGTAAATACAACGATGTTATGATTCATTTGGTGGTTCAGAAATCAGCCAAAGTTCATGCTAAGCACGTTGAGAAAGATTTGGAACTTTCGGTTGTTGCCGAGAGCGAGTTAGATGAGAGTAGTAGTAGTGTAGAGGGAGAAGAAAATCAATCGATGAGCATCAGATTGTGAAAAACGAGCCAATTGTTGGAGACTTTTTGTTGGAACCTGTTTTTGTTAATCCCAGGGTGAAATTGCCTTCTTTTATGAGGGGATATGATCCATTCGACATTCGGTGGATTGGAGGCAGGGAACCAGCCGATTAGGTCATCGGAAGGGACGGGAGGGACTTCATGCAAGATAAATCGAGGCTCGACTGTGTTTCGATTTTTAAGCCGATAGACGAGGAGCCAATGGCATTGAACAATCCGCGGGGGCTACCTCCATCTATGAATGGCGAAGGGCTGAAAAGGGGTATAAGGGTAGGAGAAGGAGCAGTTCAAGAAGTGGCTGCTTATATATCGGATCATCATAAGATGGGACCTCGATCTTCATCGGGCGATGAACTGATGGGGTTTGCCGGTGTGCCCCCTACCTGTATGGTTCAGTGCTTGCACAAAGGATTTAGCCATCCTGATGGATTTGAATCTGCACCTGAGAATGTTAAGGTGTTTGACATAAGAATGGCTAATGCTGATCGGCATGCTGGGAATATCTTGTTTCGAAAAGGAGAAGACTGTCGGATCGTGCTTATTCCTATCGATCACTGCTATTGTCTGCCCGAGAATTTAAGAATGGCAAATGCTGTTAGACATGCTGATAGATAACTTGAATGTTTGAACTGATCTCCTTTTGCTTTGTTTAGAGTTTGAGGATTGCACCTTCGAATGGATTTACTGGCCACAATCACGGAAGCCGTACTTTGTGGACACCATTAACTACATAAAGTCGATAGATGCCGGAGGGGATATCGAACTTCTGAAATATTATGGATGGGATGGTCCTATTGAATGTGCCAACACGTTGCGTATATCCACAATGCTTTTGAATAAAGGTGCTGAGCGAGGCCTCACGCCTTTCACCATTGGAAGCATCATGTGCAGAGAAACCGTGAACAAGGAATCCATGATCAAGCAGATCGTCCGCGAAGCTCGGGGTTCCTTACTCCCGGGCATGAGCGAAACAACGTTTATGGAAAGTATTTCTCAAGTCATGGAATCTAGACTTGACAAGCTCAAAAACTGATGCATCACTTTGAATGAATATTGTATGTATTCACCGAACGACGAGTCCATTTCCATATGAACATCGAATTACTCGAACGTTGACGGCTTATCTTCTTTTACACGAGCCTGAAGCTTTTTGCGTTTGTTTTTTTTCCTCCTCCCTTTCGCTCTGTCAAGTGTCTGTATAGCAACAGAGCAGAAGATAATAAAAATGTATGCCAAGATTCTGTATATATAGATTGCTGCAGGATCATAGCTCAAAAAGAGAAACAGAACTTGTACATATGCTGAAATTCTGTAAACATTGTTCAAAATTTATTCAGGGAATATTATAAGGTTATCGTCATTTGCAAATGGAAGAAGCAAAGCAAATGTAATACATGTATATGCGGAACCTATTTTGTGTGTGTAATATATATAAATAAATGTCGGATGTATTAACTAAAGAATCTAAGCAAGAACTGAGTTTTCTTTTGTGTGTGTGGAAAAAGGGTACAAATTTGTTTCTTTCCTACCAATTTGCATGTTGACAAATAGAAACGGTGACCAGGTGGAGAAAAGGAATCTAAAGATTTTCTTCGACTAGCATGGCCCTATAATTCCAACAAAAGTCTCAACTTTTTACTGTTTTACACTTAAATCATTTTCCTTCCCAACTTTCCCTCTATAAGTACACTTTCCTCGTATCCAAACACCCCTTCACTCCAGGAATCTTTTTTTTTTCATCCTTGATTTGCTTTCATCCATTTCTTAAAGAAGAAATGGTGAAGCCTCAAAAGCCCCCATCCGGCCGTACAAATCTTGCTTCGTGTATTGTAGCAACGATTTTCTTGATCTTCGTTGTAATAATAGGTCTCATCGTTTACTTCACCGTTTTTAAACCCAAGAATCCGAAGATCTCCTTCAACTCCGTCCAGCTTCCGTCATTCTCAGTCGGTAACAACTCCGTCAGCTTCACTTTCTCCCAATACGTTTCCGTTAAAAACCCTAACCGAGCCGCTTTCTCTCACTACGACAACTCTATCCAGCTCATTTACTCGGGTTCTCAAGTAGGATTCATGTTCATACCCGCAGGGAAGATCGAAGCGGGTCGGACCCAGCTCATGGCCGCAACTTTCGCCGTTGAGCCTTTTCCTCTGGCTGCACCGAATGAGGCGTTGGACGCGACGATTCTATAGCTCCAACGACGGGGCCCATCGCTGTGATGGGGCTTGGGCGGTTCAGGGAATATTAAGGTTATCGTCATTTGCAAATGGAAGAAGCAAAGCAAATGTAATACATGTATATGCGGAACCTGTTTTGTGTGTGTATATATATATAGAAATAAATGTCGGATGATTTATTAACTAAAGAATCTAAGCAAGAACTGAGTTTTCCTTTTTTTGTGTGTGGAAAAAGGGTACAAATTTGTTTTATTTCCTACCAATTTTGCAATGTTGACAAATAGGAACGGTGACCATGTGGAGAAAAGGAATCTAAAGATTTCTTTCGACTAGCATGGCCCTAGTAATTCCAACAAAAGTCTCCACTTTTTACTGTTTTACACTTAAATCATTTTCCTTCCCAACTTTCCCTCGATAAATACACTTTCCTCGCATCCAAACACCCCTTCACTCCAGGAATCTTTTTTTTTTTCATCCTTGATTTGCTTTCATCCTTGATTTGCTTTCATCCATTTCTTAAAGAAGAAATGGTAAAGCCTCAAAAGCCCCCATCCGGCCGTACAAATCTTGCTTCGTGTATTGTAGCAACGATTTTCTTGATCTTCGTTGTAATAATAGGTCTCATAGTTTACTTCACCGTTTTTAAACCCAAGGATCCGAAGATCTCCTTCAACTCCGTCCAGCTTCCGTCATTCTCAGTCGGTAACAACTCCGTCAGCTTCACTTTCTCCCAATACGTTTCCGTTAAAAACCCTAACCGAGCCGCTTTCTCTCACTACGACAACTCTATCCAGCTCATTTACTCGGGTTCTCAAGTAGGATTCATGTTCATACCCGCAGGGAAGATCGAAGCGGGTCGGACCCAGTTCATGGCCGCAACTTTCGCCGTTGAGCCTTTTCCTCTGGCTGCACCGAATGAGGCGTTGGACGCGACGATTCCTATAGCTCCACGACGGGGCCTCGGTGTGATTGGTGGCTTTGGCGGGAATAACAATGGGTATCGAGTCGGACCCACGATGGAGATTGAGTCTCGGATGGAGATGGCGGGTCGGACTCGGGTTCTGAATTTCTTCACATATCATGTGGATGCTAAATCTGAGTGCACAGTTACCATCGCGGTGAGTGATGGTTCTGTTTTAGGTTTCCACTGCTGATTTTTTGTCCTTTTTAGTTTCGTTCATGTAACTTAAGGGACTACTTAGCCGCCTTCTTTTAAGATTTTCAGGTTTGTTGAAAGAAGTGTACAAATAGTGTGTTCAAGTATTTTAGGAAAACGAAGCTTTTGTGCTTAAATCTACCCTTCTATTTAGGGTCGAGAGGGTGGTTAAGTAAGGCGTTCTTGGAATCCGGTGGAAGAGTTCGGGCGAATTAATTGGCACTCGAGTGTAGAGCTGTGAATAAGTTTAGTCGAATTGAATATATATTTAATTCGAGTTTAAGAAAATTTCAATTTAAATTTTCTTCAGATTAAATTGATTGGAACTCAAACGAATTTTAATTCGATTAAACTTGAAATGGTGGGTAACAGATGGGTAAGAAAAAAAATTCCAAGTCGAACTAAAATAATTGTTAGTGGGTGAGAAATGGTGGAGTTGTTAAAGGCAGGCGGGGCCACAGGCAAACATTGAAATCATGATTCATCATCTAGTTTCCACTAACCTCGAGATTCAAGTCCGTCTTATTCCAAAAATCACCCTAAAAACAAATATCTTTTGGCCCCCTTCTTTAAATATTATCGAATTAACATCTTTTTAAATATTATCGAATTAACATCATTTTAACAAAACGTGGATCATGAAGCACGCCTTCGAGGGATTCTGTCCGAGTTGATGCCACGATGGAAAAGCATGCTTTCGCGGAGTTTTGTCCGAGCTGACGCCACGTTAGAAAGCGTGGATCATGAAATGTGCATTCGTGAAGAAATATGACACATACAGAAGGCACGTAACATGAGTCTCGCGCCTTCCATTATTTACATTGAATTATTGCACACTCCATTATTAACTGAGCCTTAAATCTCGACTATTCACACATCCTCATCCCTATAAATACCCCTGAATGCACAAATAGAACCACACCAAAATTACTTTCACACTTTTCCTTCTATCAATTCCTTCTATCAAGCTAAGTAGATTTTGTTATAGTTTTAGAAGATAAAATTATTTTCTTATTATATATATTTATTTTATATTTAATATTTGACTAAATTTTATTGTACTAATTATTTTCTATTATTTTTACGTTTGTAAAATGGAAGACGGAATCACGGCAACTGCTCTTATACCCTTCAAGACTATAACGTTTTTTGGATCCCATATACTGACTTTCAGAAGTATTAAGATATATGAATTTGAGTTCCCCATAGGTAATGAGAAAGACTCAGATGAGGTTCAGAGTTGGCTTCCGATTATACCAGATTCGTCCTTATTAAAGGAGGCAAATCCTCCAAAATCCACTCGAATTCATTGACTTTTAGAAGTATTTAAGATATATTCGAATAAAACAAAAGATGTGGGCATTGTAGAAACTTAGGCCACAATTGAAAAAAAGTGTTCATCTTTTTTATCATCACGTAACCGTTGATGTTGTGACGATGCAATTGTTGTTTATTAAGCATCAGTTTGTGTTATTTCATTTTTATTTACTTTTAATTTATGTGATACTCAAGTGATGGGCTACTCGAATGAAAATTAAATAAAAACATTACAAACTAAATAAGAAAAACAATAAAATCAATTAAATAAAAACATTAACTATAAACGTTACAATCAAATAATTAAATAATAAAAATATTAAGAACAAAATAAATAAAAAGTCCATAATTAAATAAAAAGTCTATAATTAAATAAAAACATTAAGAAACAAGATAAATAAAAACAAGTTTATCGATGTCTGTGTCTTTAATGTGTTCCACAGGGCATATGTTGTCTATTTCGATGAGGATTTCTTCGTATAAATTGTTCTCATCCTCACACTATTATCATCATCAGTAGCAGCAGTAGCAATAATAACTACATTTTGTTGATGAGAGACATATGACAATGTAGCACCTCCATAGAATAAGGACTCTAGAGGTGTATGACTAACTATCCCACCGCTCATAGAAAAATGTGAAAACTGCGAAAACATCAACTTTGATGAATGTGAAAACTGAGTCGGAGGTGTCTGTGTCTCTAGTGAAGCATCACCAATCAAATAAGCAGTATATAAAGACAAGCTGGATCTATAAGCATGAGAGTATATCCGCCAGGAGGTGTCATAAAACCCTGTGGTGGTGGCATCTGAAATGGCTTTGGTGGCATCGAAAACGACTGCAGTGCCATCTGAAATGGCTGCGGTGGCATCTAAAATGGTTGTGGAATATAAATCGATTTAGAAGGTTGTTACTGTGATGGTTTCGGTGCTGCAGCTAAGGACGAGCCGAAAACACCTACACTTCATCCACGAGTCGGGGGACGATGATGTGTGACGGTGGACGTTTTCTCGACGTCGATGAATGCTCTTTCTCGTGCTTCTTCGGAAAGTATCTTCATGTTCGTGTTGAATCATTGATAATAGTCATCCGCAACTGAAATGATCGACATAATTCGGCTCCATACGGGGAATGCGTCCACGTCGATCCTCCCATATCATTACCACTCGTTGTGCTTCATCAGTCAGTTGACATCTTTTTGCCTCGTCGATCGACATTATGCATATTTCGAGATTTTTAGGTGCTTCAGGAATAGATTGTACAAAACCAAATTGGCGGAGCACGCAATCAGTAGGATACCACTCGACAATAGCATAACATATCAGAGGGACCGCCGCCATCCATACATCTAATGGTCACTCAAGTGAGGTGGGATGTAATGCCTCATTTGTTCAGTACAATAAAGAGCTCATTGAAGCTAAAACAAATATATATAATTCTTATCAAAAATAATATTCTATATATAACGATAATTAAAGGTAAATAATACAATTTAAATATATATCTTTGTACCAACCTTTTGATCAATGAGTAGCCGAATTTCTTCCAAATCGTTTGGTATATCACGATGATTTTTCCTTATACATGACCATATATTCAGTGTAAAAAATCATATACTTAAAAAATTTATATACAAACTTAGTATTGAAATTACCTCAACAATAACGGGAAAACTAATTGGTTTTTCACGACCGGACATAAAAAGGGCACGCGATACCATGCTCAGGACTGCAGAAGCAAAAGACATCTTCGATAGTATTTTTCGATAATCAGTTGCCGACACATTTATCTATACAGAGATGCCAAAACCAAGGAGCCCCAACTGAATGAGCCGATAACTCGAAAATATGCGAGGTGACGTAACCATATACAATGAACTTGGTTGCGAGATTTTTGGGCATCAAGATCCCTTCTATGAGTTGTAATATGCAAGCCCGTTCAATATTTTAGCCTGTTCCTCGGAACAATCTTCGCTCAACCGTCGAAAATTTGTAGACAACCATGATTACTATATTCGACCACCTTTGAAATTAGACGGGATACCTCCAAGATACTCCTCGCACAAGGAATGTCAATCACCATCCGCGCATCAGAAATAACATCATCATCTACCGGAAGTCTCAAATGTATGAAAACATCCTCTAACGTAATAGTGCACTCCCCACATGGAAGATTGAATGCATGTCTCTGGTCTCCATCTCTCAATCAGTGCAGAAATAAGGTTGAGTTCAATATTACAATATCCTTCATATTTCACTATGTCACCGAATCCAGTCGTTACTAAATACGACCAGACACAACTCAGTATCTCTAACTTAACGTTACGAATAAATAGATATAATACAATCATTCACCTAATTAAATATAATATACAAATTAAAATATAAATTAATACTAAAAAATAACTAAATAAAACATTCATAATAAATAAAATAACATAATTTAAAATTATTATCGTATCGACAAAATGACTCGAAATATGATTCTCATCTAAACGCAGCAACTCACCTGTCATTTTATAACTGTAAAAAAATAATAAATTAGTATAATAAAATATAATAAAT